GACAAGCTAGTGAGGGAAAGATACTCACGTTCTGCAGACAACGCCAAAATGAAGGTTTTCACGTTCGCGCGAAACGAAGACGACTTGACAGACAACTTCAGAACGCCTACCGGAACAAAAAGTCACTTCCGGTCGCCGTCGCCGTCGCAAAATAACCTGGTGCTTAAGTTCCCTATTTAAAGGGAATCAAATGTAAAATCAAAAAGCTGCGGTAAAAAATAAAAACAAAAAACAACCCTTCCCCCCAAAAAACAAACAAACAAACAAACAAAAAACAAACAACCATAACCAAAACAAAACAAAACAAGACAAACTAAACCAATACCAAAAAGAACTTCAACAACAACAACAACAACAAACAAAACAAAACAAAAACAAACAAAACATAATAATGGTGAAAATAAGCATTCAAAGTAACCCCACCCTTAAAATAAAATGCCAATACAAAAAGTATTAAAGTATATCTGGTGTTTTATTAGTTACCTTTATACCCTCCCCTTGTTCACGGTAGTACTGAAAGTTTTTCTTATCGTCACCATACAGTAGATTGTACTTGGTAACCCCTTGTGGGCAACAACCATTTCTCCCTTGCGTTGCTACTCCAGTTATTATAAGGGCCTCGCAGCCCAGATAAACCTGAAGCCATAGATGAGCATCATTTCCGTCAGCTGACCAAGCTCCGTGTAGTGTTCCAGTGGCTTGGAAGTGTAGTCTGCCCCGATTAGCGGCGCGGTTGGCGAGAAACTGTGAAGAAGCACTTGTCTGTCCGTCACTGATTTTTCCGCTTTCCATGCCAAGAGGTCCTTGACAAACTAATTTAGTGAACAGATTTGATTACACAGTTTCATGTAACGTTTGAGTCATTTTCAATTGAGATTCTTAATACCAAATCCAAGATAGTTACTCTGGTCAACTTCAAAACAAACAGTCAATTCAGTGATCCTGTCAAAGCTGGAAGGAAGTTCATGTAGCTCACACGAACCGCGGTAAAACGTGAGTTAGCACGATTGGTGTTGGATAATAAAGTTACGCGAGATTCTTGAGCCATGCAATCGCTTTTGGACTCGAACGAAAACCGCTCTAACAAAACTTTGAAGTTACAAAGATGTCTTCCACATTAACCCTTGG